GCAGCCTTGAGCTCCATGGCTCTGGTGATTCTCCCACCTCAGCCTCATGAGTAGCTGGGACCACAGGCATGTGTCACCATGTCTGGCTAATATTTTTGTATTTTTTGTAGAGACAGGGTTTCGTCATGTTGCACAGGCTGATCTCAAACTCCTGGGCTCAAGCCATCCTCCTGCTTCAGCCTCTCAAAGTGCTGGGATTATGGGTGTGAGACATCACACCCAGCCCCTGTTGACATCTGATTTTGGTCTAGTGATATTGATTTCAGATTTCCGTTCTCCAGAACAAAGAGATAACAAATTTTTGTTAAGTCCCAAATGTGTGGTAATTTGTTACAGTAACTGCAGAAAACTAGTATACATTTACCACACGGCATGAAAACATCTCTTAAGAAATAGAGGGGAATAAAGACAACAAAATGAATATTCCATTAATTGGTTCATGTAGGAATGTGAATGAGGCCGATTCCCTATTATATATAGAAGTGTGGAATCAGGTTTGGAGGTGAGTTAAAAACTCATTTGTTCACTTCCTTTCCTACTATAGGAACCCTTCTAGTACAATAACCTCCCTTTTAACTGATCATCAAGGACCTGAATCCTTTTAGAGGCAGTGAGCTCACTGTCTCTAAGGCAGTACATGCAGTGGTTGGCCAGCTATAATTCCTTGAAAAAAACTGCATACATCATGGTAAAAATAGAGACAACACCTATTCATTCATTTCGCAAATATTAATTGAGCATCTGCAATGTGCTAGGCAACTCTTGAAGATGCTGGGGTACCACACAAAAAAAGGAGAAAAAAAGAAAAAATCATTTTGTAATTTGTTACAGCAGCCACAGGAAACTAATACAATGCCAGATAGAAATTAAGTAGAAATAAAGTAGTACATGTGCTTGAAACAAGAAATTAATAATGAGAATAAAAAATACTAAAAGAAAGAAAAAAACTGAAATAAGAAATTAATAATGAGAATAAAAAAAGTAAAAAAAAGGAAAATACTGAGGCTTTTGATAATAAAATGATGAACTTTATGCATATAACAAGATGTGGTTGGAGAGTTTTTTGAAGTGGGGAATCAGGCCTAATATTAAAGCATTGCCTTGTCATTCAGATTGAAAACTTAATAACCTCTGGGTGGTGGAGAATAAATGGATTTTCATAAAAGTATAGTTTTTTTTAAAAGAGGGTATACAAATAACTTAGTTAATTATATAATTTTGGTTCTTCTAAGGAAAATCTTGAATGCTATTAAATATTAATATAGCTCACTAGTCTTTCTAATTTTTGCATACCTATTATGTTGTTCTTAGTTCAGCACAATGCTGAAATGCTCAGTAAAGTTGCTTTGAGTATCATGTCATGGCCTCTCTTTACATACAAAGGGGAAAGAGGATGTAAGGTATTTGTGGGGAGATGCATGATCAACAAAGGTAAGAATTAGAATCCTTGTGCCTTAAAGACCAGATGAACCAGATTAGGGAGAGCTTGGATGACTAAGGTTAGACTTTCCTTCTGGAAAACAGAAGGAACTTTATTTTTACTTATTTATTTTTTTGAAGGAATCTTTAGAAGTTAAGCAGAAGAAGACCATGGCAATAGGATCATTAACTGAAATAGCTTAAGGCAGAGGAGAAATAGAAATAATAGACCAGAAGATGTAAGGTTAATGAAGAATTGGTATATAAACAGATAGTTTCATCCAGTGAGAAACACTGAGAGGGACAGAGAGAGAGAGAGGCAGGACAGTACAATTGAAGAACCCACAGAATTTATTAATATTTTGGATAAAGGGGGATGAAGAAAGATAAGTCAAACATTTATCCAGGATTTTAAAAGTAAGTGATGGGCGGGGAGAAACACCAATAAGAAAGAATAATTATGAGGGTGAGATGTGGTAGGGTAAAAAATAAATAATCAATGTGAATTTCCAAAGAGAAATATTCAGTGCAAGATTAATCATGCAGAAATGGAATAAAATAAGAAGGTGGGATCAGATTTTCCCAACAGAAATGCATCAAGCCGCACCGATCAATTTTGTGTTCTGATTTGCTTTAGTTGATGTGTTTGAATTCTTCTCTGGCTCACTTTCTCTGAAACTGACGAGTAGTGCGAGAGATGGACATACAAGACTAAGCACAAAAACCAGACAGTATGTGGTTTTAATGAAGTATTCTATTAGCCTATGGATAAGATAAAATTCTAGCAAGTGGAGCCTGAAATTTTTTTTAAAGGTCTCTGATTGATGTGAAGAATAATGTTTGTAATGGTAAAACTCATTAGTAGCAGTGTCTGAAAAGGAACTGAGGGACGAATGCATTCAAATAATTTGATCTTGGAGATGCAATTTCAATGTCAGTGGCAACCTGGTGTTTTGGGGCACAGAAAATGATACCCTAAAATGTGCACTTAGACATACTGAACTGAAGAAGCAGCCTGAAGTTCTCACTGACCCACTGCCCCCACCCCCACTCCTGTCTCTCAACCCTCTGTCTCTCCTAAAACACAGGATGAGGTAGGTCATTCTCTGAAAGTTCCTTATCTACCTAGAAACTGGACTTTCCAGAGAGGAACGCAGTTGCTTTTGGTCCCTTTCCTAAAATTCCATTAACCAGAGAAGATTGAAACTCACATCACAGAGTAAGATCCTGAAAATTAAGCACCACACCTAGAGCCCAGACATGTTTGTTCTCCGATCCCATTCAATTTACAGAGAATAATTGACAAGCTAATTTCTGTTTCTTGGATCCATTCATTGCTCCTATAATCATTGACTACCCCTCTAAATTATCTATGGTTCTCCACTTACTTCTTTCCAATGAAGAGGCTATGTAAGCTTCAATGATCTGACCATTCTTTGAGTTTCCATAATTTTTTGTTTGAAGTGCTTACATTAATAAATTTGCTATGCTTTCCTTTTGTCCACCTGTCTTTTGTTATAGATGTGTTGGCTGTGCCCCTTTATGATGGGCAGGAGCAGAGCCACCCCATTTCCACCTCTAAACTGGGATGGTGGAAAGATCATAGGTTGCATCGGAATCCCAGTAATTTATTTACAAGGTGTGGTATTGGGCAAGATGTTCAATCCCTCTGTATCTTATTTTCCTTACTGTAAAAATAAATGTGTTCTTTTTGTGGTGAGAAGACTTAAAATCTACTGTCTTCGCAATTTTCAAATATATAGTATCTCAATAACTGTAGTCATTGATGATGTATAGTAGATCTCTTGAAGTTATTCCTCCTAACTGAAATTTTGTCCAATCCACAATGTACACCTATATCAAAACATCATGTTGTGTACCATAAATAGATAATATTTACAATTTTTCAATTCAATAAATTTGAGATTAAAATAAACTTAAAAATTTCTGTTGATAATCATGTTGTGAGGATCCAGTATTCCCGCTGTGTGGAAAAACAAAATTACAATGTCTATCACAGTTCCTGTAATTTACAGATACTCAATACAAGTTAATTTCATTATTAGTTTTTTTGAGACAGGGTGTTGCTCTGTTGCCCAGTCTGGAGTGCAGTGACATGATCATAGCTAACTGCAGGCTGAGACTCCTGGGCTCCAGTGATCCTCCTGTCTCAGCCTCTGGAGAACAGGCATGCACCACCACACCTGGTTTTTTTTTTTTTTTTTTTTTTTTTTTTTTTTTTTTTTTTTTTTTTTTTTTTTGACAGGATCTTGCTATGTCACCCAGGCTGGTCTCAAATGCCTGGCCTTAAGTGATCCTGCTTCAGTCCTGCAAAATGCTGGGATTATAGATTTGAACCACTATGCCTGGCTTTAATTTTATCTTTATATCCTATTCACCTCTTATACACACACATAAGGAAAAAAATCTCTGTTAGGTAATGTTCAGTTAAGAAAAATGATTATATTGCTTTGTGAACAAAGGCTCAGGTCAATGTATAGGTAATTAAACTATACCCTTAAGCTCATATTGTTATACGTGTGAATTCTATGGTATTGACAACATTTCTCAGGTTTTACATTACATGAGGATAAAACACAAAACTGCACCTGTATCCTCTGAATCTATAAAAACGAATAAACAAAAACAAAAGAAATCAAAATTAATGCAATGTAAAATAGAAGAGTTTTATTCAGGTGTTGAACTGTGGTGTTCAGGTTTTAGCCCCAAAAGTTCATTGAGCTGTGAAGTATTTATAAGTGAACTTTTCTGTATATAGAGTATGATTTATACAAAATTTAACATTTTTAAACTTTCTTAATTGAAAAATTTAGTAAAAGTAATAATAGCTGCCGTATGTTAAACATTTACTATGTGTCAATGATTGTAAATATATTATCATACTTCATCCTGTGAAAACAAAACATTTCACCTAGTAACTGATGAAGTAGTCTAGTGTTCAAGCACACAGTGGCAACATCTATATATTTAATACTTTCATACAATAGCTTCACTGCACGCACACTTAAGTCTACAAAGCATGTGTGTATTTAAAATTGTTGTGTGATATAATAGACACTCATGAGGGCAGACATGTTAGCCCCATCCCGAGCTCAGAAGAGAACTGGAACCAACATATAGCAGGATGAACAAAAATTGCTGAAAATTGGCTTTGAGTGAATATTTGAGTTAGAGTCAATCTAGGTTGTCATTATCGTTTATAAATCCAGAGTATCATCCAGCATTTTATTCTAGACAGATTTTACAAGTTTTACTTCAAAGGCACACTGGATTATAATTCTTTAAAAGGATACAGGCATGACTAACATTGAGGCTTTTCAAACATGACAAACATTCAAGCTTTTCAAAAAGAGCGCTGAATGCTGGGTCTGGTTTGAGTTCATCTCTGAAAAATACTCTGATCATGGAGAAACGAGGGCAAAGTAGGGGTCTCAAGCAGAGCTTTAACAAATACAACATGTTGTGTTTTTAATTCTTGGTTGGCGAAATGAAAAATGCATCTGACATTTTTGTGAAACAAATCTTATGATTTTTTTTTTTTTTTTTTTTTTTTACCCCAGGAAGAAGAAAGCACATCTCACCTTCAGTGGTCACCTTTATTTTGTTACTTAAACGTAATAAAATAAAAAGGTTTTAAAACAGCTTCAAGGGAAAGCTTGGAAGAGAGCTCAAAGAGATTGTAATCAATAAGCATTCAAATTACTCCATGACTTCAATGTTTGAAACATTTAAAGGCGAAAACAATGTGATATTAGGTAAACTAGCAACATTCCTAACAGAGGGTGGTTATACAGCTCATTAAGAGAGACCATTAAGTGAATAACACAATGGCTCTGAGCATTTGTTTGGGTCTCCAACTTTACATAAACCAGTCTCTGCTTTGCAATAATTTAACTAATTTTTTTCTACAAACCAATACAGTCCACCAGCAAATGAACAGATAATGAAGAGTCGATGCACCCTGCCACACGCTCTCACCTCTCTCCAGGTAATTCTCACTTTGCAAAGATGCTGGATCACTGAGATATTAAATATTTGAAGAAATAAAAGGACAAAACTAAGCAAAAACAAACAAATAAAACGCTCCACATGGAACACGAGGTCAATTCAGGAAATGTGTTTGTCTCAGAGCACCAGTACGATTTCCTCTCATGTTGAAGTTGTTTTTTTCACTCTGATTTATGCTTCTCTTCATAATTGATTTTTTAAAAATAGATTCATTCTCAGCATTTAAAATGGTCTGACTTAAAACTCAAAGAAACTTATCCTTTAAGTTGTTTTGCGCTTGTAACTACTGGAAAGCACGTATCTTTCTGTCATTTTTTGATTAGTTTGCATACTTTGATGGTGTCTTTTAGAAATAATAACTTGTTAAGAGTGTAATAGTTCACTTAGTGAATAGTCTTAACTGTGTAATACATTCACAGTTAAATCCAATAGTTTAATTGAAATAGGACCTATTTGGAATAGGAACAATGATCACAGACACATGGAAAATATTTCATGGGGCAGTAAAATACAGATATGAAATTTATTTTAATCATACATAATGTTTATTTAAAATATATGTGTACTCTCAGAGTTGATGCAGGTGCATATTAAAGGAAAAATATCCCACGCTCTTTTCTCATTTGTCTCTCCTTGTGTTTTCTAAATAAAAGTCTAATGATAAGTTCCAGACAAGCAGCATTTTTTTGGAAAAACCAGAGAATGTATCTCTTTTTTCATAAAATGCCAGATTGTATCCATTATTCTTGTGACTCACAGAATTCTAAAGTGTATTTACCCAAACTGAAAAATTCTGAGCTTATTTGAGGAAGGAAGCATAAAAGCACCGTGAAAAGTTTAAAAAATTCCAATCCATCTATAATTGTTAGAATCCAATAACTACTGATGTGAATATTCTTTATAAACTTCAGTGTCGATTTTAATATTATAGTATGTATGATGGGTAATAAGCTAACTTTTCAGAAACTAAAATGGACACCCAATTACACATATTTCCCTTATGTATCCTGATTTTTTTTTGAGATATAAATCTCGTGATTGTTGGTTCATATAAATAATCTTATGTTTTTTTTCTGGTGACTTGGAAAAGGTTATTAGTTTCTACTGATGTCTGTTTATACTGTTGCTATTTCCAATGATTTTATTGTTTGGCTAGGCTAAATATATTAATTTACATATCTTGTATTTTACCTAACAGTGTTTTAAGATCTGTTGTTATATAAAACTCTGCTTGCTTTGCTGAATTCATAACTATGAGAAGCAACATATTTATGATTAATGATGGAAAATATGCTTCCAAGATGTTTTTATTTGCATTTATAGATATAATTTTCTGAAGGATTTATGTGAGCACTACTCATAAATGTTCTGATCAGATGTTTGACTATAAAACATTTCTAAATGCCACACTCCACAGGCTAATGATCTATCCATCTGAAATGGTATTCCGACTCCTATAAATGTTACACATTTTAGATCTTTTAGAGATAGCTTTTATATCTTCATGTTTGAGGAAATATCCAGAAAAAGAATAACTTCCCTGAAGAGTTAGGACACTATAGAGGATAAAGATGATAAAGAACATTGACCTATGAATCAGCACTTAATAGAAGGCTAGAGGTCAACCCCCAAAGTCCAGGTCAGAATGCTCACAGACAGCCAGGAAAGCAAATAGCACATGGAGTGAAAGGGACATAGTGAGGAAGTCACAAGATGACAGAGTATTATACATAATTAGGACATTCCGGAGAAATTGAAAGACATCCTAGGCAGATTAAAAAGGAGTGAAATGCCTGGACTTTCTCAATTTATAGATAGGGTTGTACAGTTCAGGGAAGTATTTGTTAGCTCATTTTTCCCACAAAAATACTACTGTTGCCCTAGATTAGCTCATAACATCCTAACTCATGTTTTAGCTGACATTTTTTTTTTTTTCTTAGTCACCTCTTTCAGACTTTCCAAGGCAGTTTGGCTGGCACCATTGTGTGTCTTCATCTATTTTTCTCTTTTTTCTTTAAATCCTATACTTCATGCTTATTACTTAGCTCTACTTTATTTTCTGCATTATTTTTGGAACAAGGAAAATTATACTGTAACCAAGTGTGGCAAACAAGGCAAAGTAGGAAAGGAAGACTTTATTCAGTCTATTGAAGTAGGCGAGACAGACTGAACGTGACTCCATTGAAACAAAGGTGAGAGGGTTTTTAAAGGCTAAGGTGAGCTAGCAGAAAAGTACCCAGGGATGTTAAGGGAGAAGTTGATCAATGGGATGTGTTGAGCACATAAATTATTCCTGAGTTTGCAAATGTTTTTCTCTGTGATTAGGCCATCTGTGTTTGCTAATTGGCACCCACCAAAGTTAGGCTTCTACCCTCCCACAGAGATTGGGAGATAGGAGTCCTATCTCCTTCGGTGTTTACATTTCAAAGTGATGGTTCCCAGGTCCTTGAGAAAGACATTGCCTAGATTGCAAAACTGTCAGGAGGCTGAGAGAAGATTTACATACATTTCAAAGGGGCAGAAAAAGAATTTACAATTAGACATTTTCTAAAGTAACTGCTCTAAGAATAGGGAGGCTTGTGGTCAAGAAGAAGCCTGTCTAAAGTTAAGTCAAGCTGGCGGGTGAGGAGTCAGGGGGTGGAACTCTAAGGCTATCTTGGTTAAGTGTATATTAATTTTCAAATATTAATATTTACATCTGTTGTGTATCCATTGCATATTTTATATTTGAATATAAATTCTGCAGCATACAAACATGAGTGAATGTAAATATTTCACACCAGTCTGTAATCTTCTGTCTGTGTTCTTAATTTCTTTTCTGCTTGTAGAATTCCATCATCATTTACTGAACCAAAATTCATTAGCCTGCCCCTTATAACAAACACTGAAATAGCTATGACACAGTCCCTCCTCCCAGGGCCTCTCTCCCCTGGCTCTAAGGGTGTTTAGGCATTTTATCTCCTAAAGGTAACTCCAGTGAAGAAAATTGAAATATTTTACTCCAAAATATATTTCTTTGACATATTTTGAAATGACTGCCACTTGACCATCCTGACACTTGGCCTTGCAAAGCTGTCTTTAGTGGGGGAAAATTTGCATCTGTTGAGAATTTGCATTCATACAGACAGAATCCTTCCCCTTTCTATGCTTTTCCCAGGATCCAGGAGAGATTGAGTTTGACGCCTTTAAAAGTCTGAAAAGAAACATTTATCACTGATCATCTCCGAGGGAGGCATCATCTACATATCAAGGACATGTTTGCTAGCCAAGCTTCTTCCTTTCTTCACTCTCTTAACCTGTCTTTACCTGTTTCTGGTCATGGTCCGAATCTGCATTCTTTACTGTGGCCTCAGGATGGCATATAACTTTCAGTAACTCATTGGGAAGTTGGGTCTTCATTCTGAAGGCTCCCATGTATATGCATTAAGTAAATGTGGATGTCTTTTCTCCTGTGAATCAATCTGCATCATGTCAGTGATTTTTAGTGAACCTTTAGGGGACCAAGAGCTTTGGCCCCCGCACCAGCCACAGAAGATAGGAGTGGTGCAACGTATTATTTAGCAACCTTATTGCAAGTCAGACAGGTGCACAAATAGTCCAAAGAATACAAAAAGCAGTCACGCATCCCTTTGCCTGTTGCAGGAAGAGTCCAGAGTGGAGATATGCATGTTCATATTGTTCAGCTTGTTCCCAGTTTTTCATAGCCCGGGCATTTTTGTTCCAAACTCTAGAGCTTCACTGTTCAATACAGTAGTAGACGCATGTGACTATTGATCTTTGAAATGTGACCAGTTCAAAATAAGAAGTGCTGTAATTGCAAAATACATATTAAATTTCAGAAGCTTAATGTGATAAAAATAGTGTAAATTTATCTCCAATAATTTTTATATTGATTTTTTGTTAAAATGATAGTATTAAGAGGAACAAGATCATGTCCTTTGCAGGGACATGGATAAAACTGGAAGCCATTATCCTCAGCAGATTAACTCAGGAACAGAAAACCAGACACTCCATGTTCTCACTTATAAGTGGTCGCTGAACAATGAGAACACATGGACACAGGGAGGGGAACAACACACACTGGGGCCTGTCAGGGGAGGGTTGGGGGGATGTGCGGAGATTATTAGCGAAAAGAGCTAATGCATGCTGGGTTTAATACCTAGGTGATTTGTTGATAGGTACGGCAAACCACCGTGGCACATGTTTACCTATGTAACAAACCTGCATATCCTGCACATGTACCCCAGAACTTAGAAAACAAACAAACAATAAAATAATCTTAAAAAAGGATAGTATTTTGAATTTATTGGGTTAAATATTAACATTATTTCATCTGCTTTATTTTATTTTTCATAATATGGCTACTGGAATTTTAAAATCGCATATGGTACATGTTATATTTCTATTGGTTGGCAAGGCTCTAGAGGCCCGAATTTCCCCTATTCCCAGTGCCTGGGCTATTGCTCTTCTGCATTTTGGTCTCTGTTGGTCTCTTTCTCCTCTTCCATTTCTTCCTGCCTCTCTTGTTCTAATATCAGCCGAAATGCGAACTCCTCCATATAACATAGGGTTACTTAACACTAATTTGTCATTTACAATGGTAATAATAATATAATAATCATTTAGATTTATAACGATAATATGTAAGATTTTATTCTTCACACTAAAAACATGTTTCTTCTTGTAGCCACCTACCAGGGAGTTTATTATTAAACACATAGTAAAACTCAATCAATATCTATTAAATGTTCTAAATTCTGATCACACATCTAGCTGAAAACCCACAGTCTCCAATTTATCATCGCATTTCTATTGCTCCACTTGAAGGAGGAAAAGGTAAATAAGACCTTTAAGTGAGCCGCTGTTCTGAGTTTGAGAAAACCCAGCCTCCCCCTTCCCTTAACCTCCTAACCTGGTCATTAGGCCTCATTCAAAGGGCAAGTTACCCAATGGGATCTGAAATCTTGCTTCTCTAATAGTACTTCTATTGAATTCACAGATAAGTTGAGTAGAACATTTTCTAGTGCATAAGAGAAAGGCTGATGGGAAATATGTTTTTTTTTTATTGATGTGCAACTTTCTTTTTCCTTCACAAAGAATCTTAGTCAATGTTATGATTGTTCCTTTCTTGTAAAAATGATGTCCAAAGGCAGGATTCTATTCATGCAAACTGTCAATAAACATCCTTGATAAATGAGTGAAAGAAATCAGAGTATTCACTGGAAAGAATTTCAACCCCATGCTGATTTCAAGCAACTATAATTTAATGGAAACATCAATGACAAAATATTTCAGTGGTCAATGTGCAGACCTCTAAATTATTAAATTCTCCAAGGTTGTGAAGGAATGGTAAAACTCTGTTTTCAAAGTGTTTGGGGCAAATCTGTTTTGAAAGAGTTGCCGCTTGAGGCACACGTATAATAGCTTACTTTGTTCCCTTGTAAAAGGCTAATCGAGGAGCTCAGGGCGTCATAAAGATGATCACCTCCCCTGGGGAATAGAAAATACTATTTAACCTTTC